TGAGGCACGCGAATGCCAATTTCGTACCTCACAAGATATTCCACAAACGGATGAGAATGTACAGAGGTCAGAGGTGGCTTACATATGGTCACATATACAAACGAGCTACACCAACAACAGCGAATTCACCGTTGTTATCAACAGGTGAACATGACCAAACAGGTCACCCCAAGAAAGTAAGAACATGTCTAGACTTACGCGAGATCGATTATCAATATGAACAAGATAAGTTGTGTTACCGAAAATAAAAGAAGTACTACACAACCTACAAGGAGCACAGTTCTTTTCAAAGTTAAATCTCACAGGAGGGTTTCACCATTTCCTAGTAGACGAAGCAAGCCAACACTTCTTCACCTTCTCGTGTAGAGGAGCGCAATACTTATTCAAGTCAGCGCCGTTTGGACTACACTCACTCACAGCACAGTTCCAGAGAGTCATGGTAAACTTGCTCATAGACATCAAAGGAGTGCAAGTGTATGTAGATGATATAGTCATTGCGAGTCTTACAGAAGAAAAACACCGCAAGACAGTTATAGGGTTTTAGAGCGACTGAATGAAGCAGACTTCTGACTTAATTTCAACAAGTGTGCCTTCGTGGTCAAAATGGTCAACATTCTAGGTGTAAAAGTCACCACACAGGGACTCAAAGCAGATCCTGAAAAACAGAGAAGGATGATGGACTGGCCACTACCCAGAACAAAATAAGATCTGCACAAAGCGGTGGGGCTAGCAAATCACATGCGCGACCATGTCCCCAACTTTGCCCACACAACGAAATACTTCCGGAACTTAATGAAAGGAAAAATGAACCAGAACATATTCATGTTGTGGACTCCGGAACTCAAAAGAAGTGGGAAGAACTCAAAGAAGCCATCGCCTGTTCAGCGACACTAACATATCCTGTGGATGGGGTACCGTTTTTTTTTTGAATAATGCTAGTGACTATGGCATAGGAAAATGTTTATTTCAAGTCATCGATGGGGTTAGAAGAGACATCCTCTATTTCTCGAAAGGCTTGAATCCGGCACAACAACGCTATGGCACAAATAGTAAAGAGCTACTAGCACTGGTATACAGTGGAACATTTCGCTGATTACATCAAAGGAGGGGACATAACACCGTGGACAGATCACAAAGCGCTCACGAAAATAAACAGTCAACAGACGTTACACACAATGCTAGCCAAATGGATAGCAAAAACATTCCACCACCACTTTTCCATCATACACGTCCCAGGCAAGGACAACCAGATGGCAGACATGTTTTCGCGTTTACATGAAGACACTTTTAATACTAAAACTTCGAAGGTATTACAAGAAGCGAATGAAACAACACATAGTAGCCAAGACCTTGGAAACAAATATGCCCATAACCATATCAGCCATAGACTGGATGTTACATCCCAGATTCTACCAAGTAGCTGAACGACGGTTTGGAAAATTCACTGTGGATCTGTTTGCATCGGCACACAATGCACACACAGATAAACAATACACAAAAGAACTGAATGCGCTACAACAAAAGTGGGCGCAGGAGGTGAATGCATGGGCGGACCCACCATGGGAACTCATACCTGATGTCTTTGACAAAGTTATTGAAGAGGCAACCAGCATCACGATATGTGTACTACACCACCCCAACGCAACGTGGTTTCCAAAGTTCTTGTCTTTACTAGAAGGAGATCCGATGCTAGTGGAAAACACAAACAGCACTTTCCTCAAAGAAGGCAAGAAAGCTTGTAGCAAGACCCCATGGGGTGTCACATTAGTCGCAAAGATAAGAGTTAAGTCTTCATACTTTGACTCAATGCGGGAACAACCTGCCATACACGTTGTAGCATCAGAAACAGTTCACTCTGGAGATGCAACACAGGTAACAGAATACGAGACACGTGTCAGCATCATCGAGCAATACCACAACTTGGGACAATATACTCCTGAGGAAACGGTACACAGGTTGCAAGCAGATGGACATGATTGGCCTGATATCCAACAACATATACAATATTTCGAGGCGTAAGTCTGGACTGCAAGCAATTAAGCAGCCCTTGTTGTAGTTTGAGACCCCATTAAAACTGCACTTCTTACTATATAAGCACCTTATACTAGCGAAGGTGCGGAGATCTAGGTATACGTTACTGTAGTCTCCTGATGCCTTTTTAATCAACGACAGTTTCATCTCAAGATGTAGCTTTATCACATATTCACCACACGATAAAATAAGTTGTTACTGGGTTTTAGTTAGTTTTCTAGTAGCTTCTTGACATTATTGATATAATAACTATTTCAAAGAGCCTGGCTAGGGAATCGGTAAGGGTGCCACAATCACAAGCAGCACCGTATGACCACCTCTATTTTTGGGTCTAGAGTAGAAGCTAATTTGTATCTGTTAGGAAAAGTTTGATAAAACACTCGGGTCCTTCTTCGATGTCTAATTGTAGACAATGTGTACTCTTTATCGTCTCGACCCTAATTCATCTTATCAACCTCAAAGTATACATAGGTATATTTGGTCCTGGTAGGTCCCTTTCATACCTACGTTACGACTGCCTACCAACCCTACGTAGCACACCGTGATATATATTCGAATCCATCTCTATATTACCATCTTGTAGCACCTTGGAACTGGAAAACCCAGAAACAGAAAGCCAAAATCGGAACCTAAAGCGAAGGTTTCCCAAATCCCGAGTTTCTGGTCCAGGCTCAGTATATATTCCTGATAATAGAGTGGTACCTGCCGGCGTCATGAGAATAACATTTAAAAGTGAAAATCTTGCGAGTGTAGGGAATTACAAAATAGGAGTCACATATAAAGACTATGTGCGCTTCTCTTGGACCAGGACTTTTTTCTATCTGAGAATTGAGAAGAGGTCTATAGAGAGTATGGAGTAGCTGAGGAAAAAAACGAGAATGCGCTACATAATTAACAATAGCTTTCTTCTCAATTAAGTCTCTCAGCTAGAAATAGGTTCTAATGAACGGAATCAACGTGCTTGTCACTGTATCTTCTGATGTGTCATCATTGCTCTGAGTCATACTAAAGCATATATGTTTTCCCTATTAGAGTCAAATGTTGGGCCAATAGAGTCCACTTGTATCTCACTTTCCTACGATCGTATCATTTCCGATACTGTCATACCTTACAATCTCCCACATACTTTTGTATGACAGCTGGTGCCTTCTCTAGTCAATTCCTTTGAATCACAGTCGTAGCCGTTCATTAGGCAAGCAAAAAGTGCACTTGCATGCTAACAGTGACTTTCAGACAAATTCATATGAACAACAGAACAATGACAATCGTTTATCCGACCGAGTGCGTTATTTGAGCAAAAAGAATAGACCAGTTTCAAACCTTAAATTCAACTTTTAGTATCATCTCACAGTCCAAAATTACAAATACCAGATTTTGGTCATAATATAATGAAAGGGCGGGACCTCGGCCAAACCTACATCCATGAAAATCTAGTCATCGGCCTACTTATCTTCTCTTTGGAATGTTGTGCTGCACAATCGCTTCAAGATTCAACAGGTCGCCCTCCTCAGCAATATATATGTTAACCAGAATTGCAGGTAATCATGTGTGTTTTATCACATACATGCTTAGCAGACTTGCCGTATACGTCTCATGGCGTTTCAAAAAGCATCATTTTAGTCTCTTTCAAGAAGAGGGCAGCTATTGCATCATAAATTAAATACACAAACTGAAAATAAATCATAGAGCGGTAGCAGCAGGCATAGCGATAGTAGCAGATACAACGTCATCAGCGTTATGACGTGTCCAACCACACGGAATCGTAGGAATACAACTAATGGTCAGACCAATTTCAATGTAAGTAATCGAATCAGGAAACTCTACCAAGATACCACTAGGCACGGTGTCAGGGGATGGGGCACTATATAAAGATCTATATGGCTGGAAATGCTGATTCGGGATAATAGCACAGTAATATTACTACGTTGTATTTGATTGAAGGAATTATAGCAGCACATGGATATAGTCATATGCCAGAAAGTAACGTTAAAGGACCGTGTCAACAACCAATCCCATGACTACTGTCAGTCCAACTTTCAAACACATCAATCCCAGATAACCAGGGTTCAAAAGGACAGCCACAAAGCATATCGTGAGTATTCTTGCATCAAAATGCTACTTTTATCTTATGGAGATCGAACGTAGGTACATGCCTACAATTTCTTTTTAGAAAACCTAGACCTTATGAATTTGTTTATATATAGAAGTATGTATAACGGTGTAGAGAAAATTTATGTCGAGTATTATCCGATAGGCATGTCGATGTATTAATTCCATGCTGCTGCTAAAACATGAGACCATCTAGGGGTTCCACAGAAACCATGTATTAATACATGACCAACCGAAATTTAGATTTAGGACGCTGATACAATACGACAAAAACCCAATCTTCTTCCAGCAAGAAAAATATTTGTTATATAGATTTTAATGCTAAATGTATTGATTCTTGAGCAAAGATGACGACTAGTTCGCAGAACAGTTTCCAGAAATTATCAGCAACACCGAATTCACGAGGAGGTTTCCATTGCTTCTCAACCGTGACAAAGGGAAGCCACCAACTTCTTATGTTCACTACATCGACGCAAAGAAGTTGCTCTATCTCGTGAAGAGCTGAAGCAATAGACATAAGTAGGACCGAGTACATTGTGAGCATGCGGGATAACTGTATATTAAGAACCAGACGGATTCTATCGTCATATTCGAATAGCAAGAATGAATATTATCGAAATGGGTTAATAAATGTATTGACGGACGTCTTGTTCATAGATGCATGATACTCGTTCATGGTAGCTTGGCAAAAAGTCAGTAAAGACATGAGAACTGACAACAGATAGAATTAAATAAACACATCACAGTCAGTCGCCAAAAGTCACACTTCATTACAGTAGCGCATCTAGTAAACAAACCCGATCGATATTTCAAGCAAGGTTTGACACTCACCAACGCATATCAACGATAGGGGCACATCGTTAGAAGCATTGTGAAACCATGTTCGTGATACCACTACACACACTTACCACATCATCGATCTTCAAAATACTGCTGACGGTTTCCGTGGCTAAGGATAAGGCACTTTGTGTAACTAAAAGTGGCTGCACAACGTTCTCGTCTCTAATATTACATATCGTTCCTTTCTTCACATTGATACCCGCATCCTTTTCACCGGCTGCGTGCTTCGTTCTGAGCTCAGTCACAACCGAAATAGGATTTAATCCAGCATTTTCAGCGAGTGTGAGAGGGATGACTTCCAGAGCTTCAGCATACAAGCGAACGCAATATGATTCTATACCAGACAGGCTGTGGGAGTACTTAGCTAATTCTACGGATAGCTGCGTCTCAGGAGCACCGCCTCCGGATATAAGGAACCTGAGCATGATATTGGCAGAAAAACACAAGGTTCGGGGATTGAATCAGTAAAGTTTATGAAATCCGTGATATGTATGCCACAACTATCCAAATGACCGCTCAGGCCACTGCAGCCGATTTGATTCTCCTCGTGTCTACATTCTACCCATAAGTCCTAAATTTGACTGACTAAATACACAGGAAACAGTTTTCCCACAGTATCAGTTGTGTTTATAAGACTGGTACACAAAAGCAGGACAAAAATACCTCCTCAGAATCTAACGCTGAAAGCAAAAAAACAACAATAACACGCGCATCACTCCACCACACAAAGCCGATCGATTACACTCTGTGCAACTTACGGGACTTTGACCAAGCATCGAATGACGCACAGGGCATCGTGAATGGATCGCTCACACTCCTCCATGACCAATTTATTTGATCCTCGGCATAAGATGGACACAGTTGCTCCTGGGTTCTTAACACCTGTCGCTCGCACGATGTGAGATGAACCGACCTTCACCTCCTCAATGAGATCAGCCGCACCTAGTTTGTCTTCTGTGAAGTCTTCAGGGTTGGCTACTGGACGGCAGCCAAGCGTCTGTAATTGACCGGAGAAATCGGTCAAATGATCAAGAAACCATATCCACATAGCCGTTGTCGGGCAAAGAACTTGATATTTGAGTAAGAATACAGTGCATCTTGCACTACACGATATTCAGCTAAACTACATCTAAAATAATACGAAGTAATCAAAACAGAGTGAGAACAATCGTGCTCTGAGACCATACAACAATCACAGCTAGTTTCTAGTCCAGCGTAGAGACCATTAAGCAGTCGTGGTCTTATCCAAAATGAGACATATACACACGGATCGTGACCTAGCGACGGACAGATCCATATCCAAGGGTGCACAATATGCATACAGAGATACTCTAGTTAATCACAAGCATCTACACAACGTGAAAGAGAAACGATCACACTAGCAATACATATCGGTCGAACAGATGACCTCGCTCATGTATTGTAAAATATATAAAACGAACCCAACACTCTTTCCACATTCATCGACCAATTCTTACCTATCAGAACTATCATGATACCATATAAATGAAGATCATCTATTGTATTGACTCACCTTTGATACGAACTCGACCTCATCTCTCTCTACGTGTGGGATGCACATAATACCCAATTTGGCTAAGAAGTGGAGCGAAATATCGTTCACATTATCTCTGAGAATACTCTTCTGTACCAATACTACATTCGCTCCGCTCTTTTTGACCGCCTTACATAGATTTAGAATATATTGCCTCTCTTCCCTAAATACTCTGTCCATGGCTGTGTAATCACTCACAAGAATCTGATTGTCAATATCCGTCTTGGGTGCTGACAGACAGAACTGAATGAGCGCCACCTTTGCGTTCTTCATTACAGTCGGGCCCTTATGTGAGGCTGATTGCTGGATGAGGAGGCCGTCAGTGATGATTTCAGTGTCCTCCACGGTACCGCCGATCTTTTTAATAATGCGAACATCGTTGAGATCGACATTATTTCCGCGACGACACTTGAGTACGGCATCAACGGCGATTGGACCTAGAAGATCGCTATACTGCGCTACCACCTGCTTGAGATAGACGAAATAAGTTCCAGATGATGTTGAGACCACGCTTATAGACAACGAGGCACAGGAATGGAGAGTTATCACGCTATTCTTCTCCCCGCAAACAAAGGGATATGATTGTTTTTTTAACTACATATCAACGAGCAGCTTGATATTGTCACCCTCCCTTCTGATTCTGCTATTCGTAAAGGGTACACAGGCGGCTTAGGCTTTTACCGGTCAGGAAAAAGGCTGAACACAAATTCCTAAGATTGTTTACAGAGTACGCTTTAGAACTCTGAACTAAGGCTTTCTATGTATAGATGATAGCAAGGGTAAACATGGCAAGGATTAATCCCTATAAACAACATTCAGGATCAGAAATTTGATACAGACAGCATGCTGAAATGTGTGCTAAGTCAGCTTGTCGGCGAGTCTTACCTTTGAGTTCAGAGAGGTGTTGGCACTCTGTAACAATGCTTCACGATCATCAAGAGATACAGGAGTAGACATGTTTTTAAGTATCTCCTTGGACTTCGCCAAAGCCATCTGGAAAGAGGTCGAAATCACAGTGGGATGGATTCCTGAAGGGACAGAGACATAAAAAGCTTTCTGGTCAGAGTTGCTATCACTTAACGATGTCACTTATAACGCGGCCTGCTGTGAATGAGCGGAACATACAGATTCGACAACACAGCGATGGGCCTATAAGAACTTATCCTGCCGCGTTCATCCTTCCAGTGTATATGCATACAAAATGACAATAGCATAAAGATTTAAGGATAATAGCGTAAGGATACACAGATAAAAAATAGCATAAGAATCAAACACAATAGCATATGTATCAAAACATAATAGAATATGGATCAAATGATTATAGCACATGAATACAAACACAATAGCAAATGTATAAAAAAAAATAGCAGAAAATTTAAACCATAATAACATACGAATCACACCAAAATAGCATATGAATCAAATCACAATGCAAAAAAATCAATGAAATAGATCACAATAGCATATTCAAATGGAATATCAGATGGATAAAATCACTACAGCGAACACGCCACACAATCGACTGCAAGCTGTGTCACAGGAAGCACTCAGCAATACACAAGGTGATTAGTTAATAGCGCATCGTCTACGAGGCACACATCAAAGAGAAGTACGCATGACCTACTACAGTTAATATAAATAGATTTCGGAATCCAGATTGAATTGATCTGTCGCTTTGAGAAAATATTCGAGATCAGATCAACAGAAAACGTGTACAAGGGGGCGATGATACATCCACGCTCACGCGCATACCAAAAGATATACAGGATACTGATACTCAGGTCTATACATATACGAACGCGGCAAACATCAATATGCGACCCACAGATGCTAAATCTTTCATACCATATCGATGCCGATAGGTAGTATATGGTGTCTAACATGAAAATACCACTCCCCAAGCATGTATGTATGTTCATTTATCAGTGCGATCTACAAAATATTGTTACCGTCGACACAGATATTAGTATCCACGCACACATGTTCACCATTGATTGAGAGGCCCTAGTTCTTGTTTGCCTACAACTGGAGTGTCCAATGTCGCAATTGATATTTTTCTCGGTTCGTTATCATTAACACTCACTCACACAGCGTAGCCTATATATATAGCGACTGGAGCAATTTGCGGGCGTTACAATATACTATGTATCATATATATATAAATTTAATAAACATACAAGCATTCATACATGCACACATATATTTTATACTACAAATATATCGCTCAAACAGAGTAGCCTACATTTATAGCGGCTGGTGCAATTTGCGGGCGTCACGTAAGACTATGTATCGTATATATATATATAAGAGTTTAAGAAACATACAAACATACATGCACACACACACGTAAATATATACAATACACACAGAGACACACACACACATATATCATACAGAAAGGTATTTATTTTTATAGCGGCTGGTGCAATTTGCGGGCGTCACTTTATACTATGTATCATATTATATATACATTTAGATATATATACCTACATACATTCATACATACATGCATATATGTATACCATAAATACATACACTAAATCTTTCATACCATATCGATGCAGATAGGTAGTATATGGTGTCTAACATGAAAAGACCACTCCCCAAGCATGTATTCATTTATCAGTGCGATCTACAAAATGTTGTTACCGCCGACACAGATATTAGTATCCACGCACACATGTTCACCATTGATTGAGAGGCCCTAGTTCTTGTTTGCTTACAACTGGGGTGTCCAATGTCGCAATTGATATTTTTCTCGGTTCGTTATCATTAACACTCACTCACACAGCGTAGCCTATATATATAGCGACTGGAGCAATTTGCGGGCGTTACTATAAACTATGTATCATATGTTTTATACTATAAATATATCTCTCAAACAGAGTAGCCTACATTTATAGCGGCTGGTGCAATTTTCGGGCGTCACGTAAGACTATGTATCATATATATATATATATAAGAGTTTAAGAAACACACACACACATGCACACACACACGTAAATATATACAATACACACAGAGACACACACACACATATATATATACATACATGCATACACATATATATATCATACAGCAAGGTATTTATTTTTATAGCGGCTGGTGCAATTTGCGGGCGTCACTTTATACTATGTATCATATTATATATCCATTTAGATATACATTCATACATACATTCATACATACATGCATATATATATATCTATACCATAAATACATACACTAAATCTTTCATACCATATCGATGCCGATAGGTAGTATATGGTGTCTAACATGAAAAGACCACTCCCCAAGCATGTATGTATGTTCATTTATCAGTGCGATCTACAAAATATTGTTACCGCCGACACAGATATTAGTATCCACGCACACATGTTCACCATTGATTGAGAGGCCCTAGTTCTTGTTTGCTTACAACTGGGGTGTTCAATGTCGCAATTGATATTTTTCTCGGTTCGTATCATTAACACTCACTCACACAGCGTAGCCTATATTTCTAGCGGCTGGAGCAATTTGCTGGCGTTACTATATACTATGTATCGTATATATATAAATTTAATAAACATACAAGCATTCATACATGCACACATATATTTTATACTATAAATATATCTCTCAAACAGAATAGCCTACATTTATAGCGGCTGGTGCAATTTGCGGGCGTCACGTAAGACTATATATCATATATATATAAGAGTTTAATAAACATACAAACATACAGACACACACACACGTAAATATATACAATACACACAGACACACACACACGTAAATATATACAAAACACACAAACACAGAAACACTCACATATATATATATCTTATAGTAAGGTATTTATTTTTATAGCGGCTGGTGCAATTTGCGAGCGTCACTTTATACTATGTATCATTATATATCCATATAGATATATATATACATATACATATAGTCGACTGCATCCCGACATACTTTTATGATCACAAGTGGTTCTCTGGTCGAGAATACATAGTTCTATTACAACTTATAGTTAAAATATAACTACCCACTTTGTGATGGATTGCAGTTGGATTGTGCAATAAACACCCGAAAGATTGTCCGAGATACTCAACGACACACACACACACACACATATATATATATATATATATATCATCTCTGCTGCATGTACAACAGCCTAACATTCATGACCCTCTATATATCAAAAATATAAAATATATAATTGGGATGTACTAGTGTAGCGTATACACAAAAGTTCCCTTCGCTGTACAGTTGTAGACGAGAACAATAAAAAAATGCTATATATATATTTGAGATACTATGTTATCACACTTTGGTACCCGTACCTGAAATAACTTTACTAATATATACTACTCCACCGTCGCATGGAGTCGATTGTACATATACGATCATAAACAACAATTATCAACAATCCAAATAAATAAATAACGTACCTTTTGCCAGTAATCTCTGGGCTGCCGTCAATAGAGCGCCACTCAGCACAACTACACTAGTAGTTCCATCACCAGCTTCAATATCCTGTGCTTTGGAAACCTCTACTAACATCTTAGCTGCTGGATGCAACACTTGCATCTGGTTTAGAATGGTGGCTCCATCATTAGTAATGGTCACTTCGCCAGCGGCATCCGTGATCATCTTGTCCATACCCCTGGGCCCAAGTGAAGTGCGTACAGCATCTGCTACTGCTTTGCCAGCTGTTATATTGGTCTCCCGCACCTCACGGGGCTTGTCCTTGTCGACAAACGCCTTGGATTGTGTTTCGTACGCCATTGTGAGTATATAGAAGGATGAGGAATATGTGTATACGTGTGTGCTTGGGGAATATGTGTGTAAGTGTGTATGTGTTTACGCACGTATACAGATGAATTCGTGCCAGTTTTTGAGATGATAAGCGCTTATTTCACGTAGCGATACATTATTGAATTGTCAAATACATGACAACCACAGGTGTCAGTGACACGAAGTCAACGCGTGGCTTCACAGTACTGACAGGGATATGTTCGGTACACTGACTAAATTTTTACGCAAATTCTTATATTTTATTGCAAAAATACTGCAATTTGAAAACAGAAAATTTCCAAAGTTTATTTTTGGAATGCTCTTTGTGTACGACCTCATGATACCTACCGAATAAATAGAAACATGCAATCGAACGTCTGATTGGCGTATATGAGTTAGAATAAAACAATTCTCAATGACAAAATGTACAGTCGTTTTTTCATTTCCGCCACGGGGCCCCACCGCCCAGTCGGGCAGTCGCCCACCCCGGCACCCCCCCGGTCTGACTCTGGGCCCCTGGGGCCCTGGGGTAATAATCATATACTTCCTTTGTTTTTGAATATTTTTGTATTGTTTTTATTTTAAGAAAAGCAATAAGTAAAATCGCCACAAGAGAATTAGCTCATAAGTCGGATTACGGACTTACGCCCTAATGGGCCGGGTCAGTTCTCAGGACTCAGGTCACCGAGGTGTGAGGAGTAAAAGGACTGAAGTGAGCAGTGAGTCTGGTGCTTGTGTATGTGAGAAAATCAAAACAGAATCACAACAGGGTGTTATTTTTTTTAGAGTCGTATACTTCATACTCACTGAAATTTCAAACAAGAAAAATTGAGGTGCATATGTTCACTCTTCTGCCTTAAAAAGATGCCCTAAATTCTTGCAGTCTCTGTCAAGTTCCTGATGATTTGTCCCATATGTAGGACCGACCTCCTTCCGGGGTCTAGGATTCTGGGTGGTTGTATTTTGGATCGTAAAATCAAGAGGTTACACATCAAATAGCCCGTGTGGGCACTGTGCCCCGTGTTCTGCTCCGTGAGAGTTCCTGAAAGGATGAGCTGACGAGCGTACCATTTCGCATACGTATATTATTCAGAGACTGATTGAGGCAGTATCAGATACAACACAAACGGGTTTTGTGTTTTGTATATATTTAAACTATAGTAAGAGCAGTATGAGTTACGGAGGAGGTTATGGAGGAGGAGGTGGTGGCTACGGAGGTGGCGGTGGTTATGGTGGTGGTGGTGGTGGTGGCGGTTATGGAGGCCGTTCCGATCGTAAATTGTATGCTATTTGTCATTTTTCGTCGTAACAGTTGATAGTGTTTGTGAGGTGTTCGTGAGATGCATCTGGTCGCAATTTTGGTAATCTGCTGCTGCTCTCTATCTTTATTTTGTTGAGTCTGCATAGTATATTCTTTTATTTTCCCGTTTCATTAGAATAGGTTCAGTACGGTTTTTTCAAATGCGTTACTATAATCATTGAATCTTTCTATATCTTTACAGTGGCGGCGGCGGCGGCGGTGGTGGTTATGGCAGCGGTCGTGGCGGCGGTGGTGGCCAGGGTGCGGCTTTTTCTCAGTTGCAAACGCCCAGATGGAACGAGATCAGGTTACAGCCGTTCGAGAAAAACTTTTACAGAGAGCATCCAGATGTCTCTGCACGTGATTACTCGCAAGTCGAGGCGTACCGAGCGAAATTCGAAATGACTGTGAATGGTAAGAACGTGCCCAAGCCTGTGCAGGAGTTCGTCGAGGCTCCCTTCCCTGACTACGTGAAGAGCACTCTGCTGGGCCAAGGGTTCGAAAGACCTACACCCATCCAGGCTCAGGGATGGCCTATGGCTCTGAGTGGTCGAGATATGGTTGGTATCGCACAGACAGGTTCAGGAAAGACACTGAGTTTTGTTTTGCCCGGTATTGTGCATATCATGGCACAGCCTGTATTAGAGCGTGGCGACGGCCCAATTGTATTGATTCTGGCCCCTACGCGTGAGTTGGCCTACCAGATTCAAGAGGTTGTTAAGAAGTATGGAGATATCTGCCAACTGAAGAACACCTGTCTGTACGGTGGTGTGCCAAAGCACGGCCAAATTCGCGAGCTAGACAACGGTAAGTTTTATGCTCGAGGTTTCAAAATCGATCGTGTTAAGAATTGCTTTCCACACGGTACTGCTGGTTCGGATATGATGACCCTATACAACCTCCTACTCTTTGACGCAAATATCCATGATATGAATTATTTGTCTGATCTCCGAACTTCGCACTTTGATTTACTTATATCGATTCTTGCGTATATACTGTTTTTATGTTGCACCGTCTCACCAATCTGGGTTCTTGTTTTGAATAGGTGTGGAGTTCATCATTGCCACACCTGGTCGTTTGCTTGACTTGCTTACTATGGGCAAGACTAATCTTCTGCGCTGCACATACCTCGTACTTGATGAGGCTGACCGTATGCTGGATATGGGTTTCGAGCCTCAACTGACAAAGATCGTTGGGCAAATTAGACCCGACAGACAAACCCTCATGTGGAGTGCTACATGGCCCAAGGAGGTTAAATCCCTGGCCGAGAGGTATCTTAATGAATATATCCAGGTGAATATTGGTTCACTGGATCTGTCCGCGAATCACAGGATCAAGCAGATCGTTGAGATTATCAGTGACCGAGAGAAAGAGAGACGTCTATTGAAGCTGTTGGATGATTTGACTCGAGCGGATACCGAGGGCAAAGTACTCGTTTTCGTGGAGACTAAGCGAAAATGTGATGAAATCACCAGGAATTTAAGACATGATGGGTTCAACGCTCTGTGCATTCACGGAGATAAAAGTCAACCCGAGCGTGATTGGGTGTTGAAAGAGTTCAAAGAGGGAAAGTGTCAAACACTGATTGCCACTGATGTTGCTGCCCGTGGTCTAGGTAAGTTATGTGATCCAGCTGCTGTTCAGTTCTTGGGTTTTGGTTTAATCTCGTAGTTTTCGAGGTCGCATGTATGTTGTACATATGTTGAGTTTTCAACTAAGTATAAATTGGTGAGTTTACTGGAATATATGTGTGCATATTTGCATCTGTATGTGTTAGTTCCATAATGTTTATGATGAATATCATAGGCAGTGGCGTATATGAGTATCTGAAGGAGTTGGCGGCAATAGCTTGCCGGTTCAACACTGTCACAGTCCGTGTTCAGCAAACTCAGTGTGATGACAAATGAGTCGAGGTGTGGCGAGAGTTGGCATTCATTTGAGAGAAAATTTGGAAAAAGCATTTTCTTTCCTTGTGTTTTCTTTGCACTCTGGAAAGAAGATATGAAAGGTTAACAACTCTACGTCGTGCTTCGGTGAGGATGTCATCAATACTGGCCTTGAGGGAGGCGGCAAGTTGTGCCGTGAATTTGGGTTGAAAGTTGCATTGTGCCGAATTCTTATGAATGTTACTGATTCGGAATCGGTGCAGGCTTTAGGCTGTTCCTGCACAGTCGTACTCTCTATGAATGTTACTGGTTCTGAATCGGTGCAAGCTATAGGCAGTACACTCCTGAAAGTCAAGCACGGAAGAGTGAATCAAATTTCTTCTTAATTGAAACTTTGTGGGCTTGGATGCTATTATAGAGTATATCGTGCCATTCAAGTTGCATACCTTATGTTCAAAAAAATAACCGGTGGTCTAGTGTTGGTTCCTAATAAAGGCACTATCAAACACTACGGCTTCGTGGTTCTTTTTTGTTTTGCAATCTTTGATTTCGAGTACTGAGTGCGTTCACTCCCAATTAGTTTTAGATTTGCATTTGAAAATTTTAGTTTACCTTTACTGGTAGTCAACCTTTTGGTCCTAGCTCTCCTCGTTTTAATCTGCCGGAATACATCATGTTAAATTTACTCTGCAATCTATACCATATCTGTGATCGTCACGATGATCACAACAGACGTCAAGTTGATCAGGAACGTAATCAACTACGATTATCCCAATAATTCTGAGGATTACGTACATCGTATTGGACGTACCGGACGTGCCGGTAAAACCGGAACCGCATACACATTCTTCACACCTGACAAGTTCAAGCAGGCGCGCGATTTGGTTAATGTGTTGACAGAGTCTTCGCAAGAGGTTCCCATTAAACTCGCCGAGATGGCACGAATGGGCGGTAGTGGCGGAGGCAACAGGGGTTACGGTAAGTATTTCTAGTCCGTATCTGTCATTGTGGTAAAATTATATCTCAAGGTAGGTGAAATTTCTGTCTGAATTTCTTCTAGTGTATTGGCCGGGGGTTCGAATATGTATCTCATTCTAATATTTTTCTTACTATATGACTCAATGTTATATTATAGGAGGCCGTGGAGGCGGCGGTGGTTATGGAGGTAATAGTTATGGTGGCCCAACTGGGGGAAATGCTGGTTACGGAGGAGGATACTAATTTTGAAACTAATATTTAGAAACATACGAAGACTGCGGGCAAAACTTCGGGCCTGTGTTCTCTATATTCATGTGGTGAATCGCCAACTGCTCGGAAAAAAATATACAACGATCCATGTACGATATATTGCGCAATTGTATCTGAGTTACGAAGGCTCCATTTTCTAGCTATTCTTGACAAGTGGTTTGTGTTCACAATATCAGTCAAATGTATGGTAATAAGTCAATAAAGAATTAGCAATCAATTACGTCTCGCTCGTAAAAAGAGTTTTATTTTGACGAATTGGATGTGACTATTCGTATACACATTGTAGCGTATATAGAAAGTGTAAAGGCATATTCAAACATACATTTTTAACCGAATATAGAAAAGTTATGTTGCACAAATTCAGAAAGCTAACGGCAGTTAGTTAATAAATTATACTAAATGGTGCATGCATACTCGAGTTATAAATAGTTGTATGTTCACATATTAATCTAGTGTATTGTACGTGCATGCTAGAATAGATACAAGCATACCACGAGGAACATTGGTATTGCGTGATCCCGGCGTCAGAGATGCTCGTTACATGCCATTCAGCTAATGTATATATATATATATACATATATATTATTTTTTAGTAAGTGAGGAGCTTAACCACATGCGATAACAATAAGAGACGTTTTAGCACCTTTGAAAAACCACCAGAAGTAGTGGCAAAGTGTATATGCGGCCACTTCAATAATATTCATACCCTTTTTCTTTTTAAAAAAAATTATTACGCATTTCCATAGTCTTTCTTCTTCTAAAATAGACGTGGCATTTTTAATATTTTGCACGGAAATTCATTGAAGTATTTTTTACAATAAATATATACACAGCTGAAACAAGAGGTCATGTGTCAGTTTGACATCAGTATTGGTGGCTAAGATTGCAGCGGTGGCTTGGATTGCAGCGATGTTCATTGTAAAATGCTTGATCCTGCCGCTGATCTTTGAGAAGTGGCGAATCACTCGGGTATATGATCTGGCTTCCAAGGTATCGAGTTGCGCAATGTACTCGCTTTATGATTGGGAAATATTTAACGATTCTTTCTGACCTCACATGCGTTGAAAGTGTCCGTAGAAATACTGAGCGTGCAATGACTTTTGGATTGCAAGTCTAGGTCAACCACTACTTGTTGTGTGATCTCGGGAGTGTTAATGATTTCAGACAGGATCAAATTTCGCGTTCTTCTCGATCGTCTGCTGATGCGGAACATTCGTTAACGTCACAGTGCACTCCGTACATATGAGCAAAGCTTGCATTAGGGATCGAATGATCAGTTACCTAAAACGGGATTGGGCGATAGATGCGCATGCTCGTTATATACTTCCTCAAAAGGATGTATTGAAAGTCTGGCGAAGTATTTTGTCTATATCTATACCCTGCTGTAGTAGTCTTAGAGGAATAGTTTGACAGTTGTATGTAATTATCGTTGGGAATCTCCCTGAGCGATTCGTCTGAACACGTACCTTCTTAGCTCATAGATTTAGCGTTGCGTGTTAGATTTCTCTATTTAGAAGCATACTGCAGATTCATTACAGCCAGAAGCGAGAAGGGATACTCTTCATTGTAACTATATCGTGTGATGGGTTGACGGTGATTCAGGTACATAAGGAAGTCTCCATCTTGTTTTGATTGATTTCACAGCACAAGCGTATTTCAACACAACTAGTTAATAATTGAAAGGGCCACTACAAACTACTACAACATGTAGATTGGAATATCATACCACAAGCTAAACGCGAAGTTCGCATCTGTGGATGATGTAGTTCAGTGTCTAACGTATCTATCGTGTCATGTCGCGATCCGTTGATATTGGCAGGGGCATATAAAGCTATGGAGTCCGGTTCACGCCAGAATTCTACTTTGATTGGTAGGTTGTCACACAGGTGTTAGAACTTTGTTCAACTGATCCTCATCGACAATGACCCACAGTTGCGGAGATCAGCGACCCTTTGCAAATACCACGACCTGGAAGTTTTGTATGCTGGGAGGTTAATCCTCACAACCTAATATAACAAATGCACATTCTGTGCTCACATTAGTCTCGTTTGATAGCTTTCGCTCGTCGGTTCGTGCCTGTGATTCTCGTAGCAACTACTATACCTAATGTTGATGGACAGTGGTACTGTTTGACACAATCACTTGTCTGCTTCTGCTTCAATCAGGTTTTCATGGTCTGTATTGGAATAGATTCACAGTATACGATCGCAGTGATCATATAGTTCAGTCTGAAATAGTATATAGTAGGCTAGCCGAGGTAGGTGCACTACACCCTTGGTGATATAAACCTGCGCAATAAAAAGTCAGTTGATATGACAGATTTGAACATTTGATATTGTTTTTAATTGTGAGTATATGTTCATAGGCTTCTATATGTTCATTTAGAAGGCTATTGTATGTTTGCTTTTATAAAAAAGTATCGTTGGAACCTGCCACGCCATGAAGTTAGCAAAAGACTATATACTTCTCTAGAATATATAGGTGTGCGCCATTATACGTAGTGCAACGGGAGGTTTGTAATAGTCATACAACTTGGCATTCGGCAACCAGTGCCTGGCGGTATTTACCCCGCTAATACAGGTTAAATACAACCTTTGATCTGATTGTTGAAGGAACGAGGGTGTGGGTGAGTCAATGGCATAAGCTAGTAGTTGATACTAGCTAGAGAAGTGTACGGCAGGCTCGTGTATAAATCCATACTCAGGAAGGCAGATGCGTACATTTTTTCTTCGTCAAAAGGTCTCGACTACGTTCAGATATCCGCAGCCTGAAAGTTTATTCATTCCTTTGCAATTCAGTTACACCGGGAAACTTTACGATCTCTCGTGGGTTCTCTGAGATCTCAGTCGCGGAAAGCAGAGATCTCTGAGAAGCCTTTAGTCCGACCTCTTATGCACAATCATTGGCTCATAGACAATGACGGACCTTACAGGGTATGTCTGTAAGCCTTTGCGCATGGTCTGGTGTCTTGTGTATAGTACGTCAGTAAGTGCAAGTCTGGATGTTACAAGATCGTAAGAATACAGCCACAGTGGTTGATCCTATTGCGTGTTAAAACGCACTATCACCATTTATCATTATCTTGCACATTGCCGGTGTAACAACGAAGATACACTCTACCGGGCACTGAACGCGCGCAAATTGAGCTCCAGCTTTGTTCGCAGATAAGAGTTCTATAGCTCTCGGTCTCACATGCACAAGGCAATCGTTATATTTAAGCTCGCTCTGTGCTCCTGCAGATAGCGCCACAGAACTCCCATGCAATCGCCGAGAAGGCCCCAGAGCGCCTGCCTATCGGAAGTATTGACGAACTGCTCGACAAGGTGTGATGTGTTGGATTGAGGTTTCAAAATTTTGGGGGCGATACTACTGCCACACTGTGCATGTGAGGGGTGTAGATCCCGGTATGGCGATTTTTCTGAGCTGCTGGCTGGCTGTGTATTATAAATATATGTATGAACTTGATTTCATCAATGGAATTGGTAGGTATTCTGGCTGGTCATGCGGGAAACTCATAGGTTGTAGCATCAATCTCACTTCTGCAATCGCAGGCCAAACACTGGATTAACGAACTGAATACGGAAGATGTAATATCGATCTCGACATCGGAACTTGAATTGACAAGCAGATTAGTGCGCAATGAATTGGGTGTACCAGTTTCGTCCACAACCAAATCGAACACAACTGCGGAGGGGTTTACCAGCTACGGTCTATCAGAGACGACAAATACACCACCGCGCGTGCCTCGCACAATAGTGTGTCACGACTATCGAGGAGGTTACTGTGCGACGGAGCGGTACTTCCAGGGGAGTGACGAACAAACTCCCTACAACATATACCACTGGCAATACATCGACATGTACATATACTTCTCCCACCATCTCGTCACGATCCCACCGCCATCTCTTATAGCCCAGTGCCGTACTAATGGGGTGGCGTGTCTGGGCACATTCATCACAGAGTGGGAGAAGGGCTGGGAAATATGCGCTAGCGTCTTATGCACGCGAGAGGGAGCTAAAGATCTCGCGGTCGCCTTGGCCACGGCCTGTGTGAAGTACGGCTTCGACGGCTGGCTCATAAATATAGAGAACCCCCTTGAGGAAGAGTTCATTGACAATCTTCTATATTTTGTCAAGGTGTTGACAGAGGTGACACATAAGCTCGTTGATGGTGGTCAGGTTCGTGGTATTGTGCATTGTGTTGGTCGTATATTATCAGCTGGAAACACGAAGTGCCTGTTGGATATATACCTTGTCGTAGTTGTCATGAACCGTGCTTGCATACGGCACGATCAAGCACTCGTAGGCCAAAGTTTAATTTTGGAAGTATGGTTTCGGCACCAGTTATGAGCTACGAAGCTGAGACGTGGGAGCCCTAGTCCATACTTCTAGCTTTATAACTAATCTGACACATTGTACCTATACAGGTCATATGGTACGACTCAGTGACGATCTTCGGACGGTTGAAGTGGCAGAACGAGCTGAACTATCTAAATGACATCTTTATGCGTGAGAGCGATGGTGTGTATATGCACTGTACTCCAGTCACCTTTCGACAATCGTATCTCTACATACGTACATATATACACATAACTCGCGGATGTCTGCGTTCGCAAAGGCGAACCTCATAACATATCTACTAAGCGTTTTGTAGGCTATATAGGCTATCAACGCTGTCTCCAATTCTTTGTATATGCTGGAGCTTGTCAGAAGCGAATTTTAGCTTTCATATTTAGCATCTGTTCTCATTCCTTGCATGGCAGGTATATTTCTCAACTACGCCTGGACGGACGAGGGGCTAGCTGCATCGCGCACAATAGCTGAAGCTTACGCACCCGTCCCAAGAGGAAAGGAAACTATCACACACGACGGACGCTCATCCGATGTGTACACGGGTATCGACGTGTACGGGAGGGGGTAGGTGTACCCGGACGAACATGTAGCGGTCTTGTATATTTGGAAGCTTCATTACATTCAGGGTATATATGTATCACGTCCTAGTGGCGAGGCAGTGGTATGCCGTAGGCAGTTATATGACGGTCGCTTATGTCCTACATTCAACATCAACACTGCTAAACCCTGTTTGTCGAGTTACACGGTAAGTGTACCATATGCTTTACCTTTGGTAGGTCTCGACTCACGGTTGGAATGTTCACGAGTTAGTCTATATACTGACAAAATTCAGTGGAATATATATATATATATATATATATATATATATATATATACACACACACACACACACACGCGCGCGCGCACACACACACACGCACACATATATATATATATATATATCAGTGGCCTGAAAATCCATAGATAGACATTCACAATTCATTCTTTTCTCGGTAATGGAGGTACAAATGATGACTTCCAACGCTCACTCAATTTCCGGGTGATTCTCCTCTATCTTATTCAGTTGTTTTGGTGGCGGTGGCTTCAATTCAAAGTTGGCTTTAGAGAAGATAGCCACGCACGGTCTCTCAACCGCGCTATTTGCACCAGGGTGGGTGCATGAAAATCTACCAAACGGAGGATATGATGACAATCAGGTATGCATTCATGATTTAAGTGTTGTCAACGAGCGTGTAGTTTGGAGGTGGAGTTCCGATATATTGGCATCATAAGGAAATGGTGTTTTGTCAGATCTCCGGAATGGTTTAGAGGCATTGCCCTCACTATTTAACAGTTCTACTCGCAGATACTCAAGTACTTGGTATATCGTATATTATTCATAAATAAATTTTTATATTTTGGCATTCATCGCCTGCTCAATGGCCATTGCTTTCCAGAGCGATTCAGGACTGTACCGAATTAATGTCTACCAGTCATTTAAATGTTCTGATCGATTCTGAATCACTTCGTTTTCATATTCGAATAGTCTCGGTTCTGGACCGATCTTCTGCCGTATTTGCAGTTCCGGCCTCTGAGAACCTCTCAACTGCCGTTCCGTACGAACTTCAACATGGGTACAGGACGGGGATATTGGCTGGCGGGGAAAGACGCGCGAGATACACGCATATATACATCTAGTAGCTATGCGACCAAGGCGACTGGTGATACACAGAGTGCGGTCGTTTCGGAAGATTTACACACGAGAAGCACAGATCGTGGGCTGAGGTGTGAATGCGCAAAACGCTGTGGAAGTGCACGTGTGTGGGCGGATATCGGGCAGCAAAGTCAGTGCGTTGGTGTTCGAAGTGGTTGGGAAGCTGTTAGTGCTCGCTCGGGGTTGAGAGTCCGAGTGGCTCAGTGTGATCCTTCGGCGGCGGTTGGTGGCGCGGCAGCGGTGTACTGTTCAGGGACGAGTGGGTGTTGCACGAGGGGAGTCACTGATGAGCCCACGTGCAAAAGCAGTTGTGAAAGAATACATCCGGACAAGAATCACATCCACGCGATGGGAGGTGCGTATGAGGGTCCGTGTGTGTTGGAGATTATGAATAAGACAATACCTACCGAAGGAACAGCTGATGACATACGCTTGGACATTGGGGACTATATGGCTTCAGAGGAACTTTCGCTTGATGAAGGCTATTTTGTAGATCAAGGCAACGAAGATGAACCCCTATTGTCAATAGCAGGTAGTACTGATGAAGAATCATCGGGCGTTCCCAATGGACCTTTCAAAGGGGCTATCAGAATCCCAAGCGATGTGTCCGCTTCCAAATCGTACAATGTGCGTGTGCTGGATTGCGAGTTAGACATAAATGAGCGATACGTTGTATCGATCATATACGCAGTGAGAAACGCATCCGGGATTACTGATAGTCTGTACAAAACCACAAAAAATGGTAGTGATACCGGAACACCGATTCTAGATATAAGTGTAGGGGTGAATAGAGGGTGCGTAGATGAGTCAGAGAATATATCGGCACGGTACGAGGCTTCAAATACCGAGTTTGCACAACCGTGTACAGAGCATATAAAGAAATCTTCCTTGGGTGTGGGAGATTGGCAGCAAATTTTGATGGAATGGCAAGCGGTGAGTTTAGGACCTGAGGGACACCAGACCCAAAGTGGTGAACCCATTGGCACAATTCGCGTGGGCATAGATGTGTTGATAGTTGCTTCTGAGAGTGTTGGGCGTAGCGATTGGTGCGTGGTAGTAGGTGAAGTTTCTGTTCAGCGTAAGACTGATGTCCATGAACCTACAAAACATACGGTAGACGAGGCGACGCAGTGCACACATATTCTCAGCAGTTCGAACAGCCCCATAGAGGTTCACGATGTATTATATGACCGTGTGATCTATCAAACTCTCAGCACACCAATTTCCAGCCCTCGAAACCGAGCATCAGACCCACAAGCCACAGACCTATGTGACAAAACACAGCCGGTCGTTGAAGAAATGGATACAGCGGAGAATAGAGTACTGCTACAGCTGACCTGCACGTTGCAATGGGGCAAAATTTTCACCTGCGGGAGGACTTGTACCTGTGTAGCTGCCAAACCTATGCGCTACCGGGTGTGGGCATGTACATCGCAAGGTATGTATGCCACTTCTACCGTCGTAACTTGTGTATGCATGATTTTGTTTTTGGTGTAAATGATATGGGCCTTCGAGCTATGTTGTACGGGGTGTATAATCCATGTCACCTATTCCGAGTTTATCGTTGCGGTTGCCGCCTTCGCGTTGCCTCTGAAGTATTCATCCTCTTCTGTATATGTAGCTGCCATTACTCACCAACATCCGATGCATAGCTGGACATATAACACCACCATTGCCTCAACCCTGCATCCTTTACAAAAGTCCACTATATGGTTTGGTGGCCGATCGCCGATCACATGCGCATTTTAGTTAACTCTTCGTGATCATGTCCATATACACCCGTCTTCGCAGTTTGCAATCCTACACCACCCCTCCAGCTCTACCTGGGAGAAACCTCGGAATGCCGCTACACAATACTGGGGCTATGTGTGCAACCACCAACAGCGCCCGAGACATCCAGTCATGCACACGCACAATCACACTCCAACTCAATGCAAATAGAAGGCAGTGTGAAGGAACCTGAATCGCCAAGCGCATCACACAACACACTTTTTGAAGATAATGAACAACAGAATGAGGCACACATGATGATTGGTGGATCTGATACCAAGCTTCCGTTGTATGCGGGGGTGTGGTTTGGGGTATACCCAGTGTGTGCGCTGGGCCATAGTCTGGGTGGAAGTTGGGTGCATGTTTAGGGGTAAAAATTTGTGTTACCTATACTGCACATTAATACCAAAATTTAGTTTTGGTAATCCAAAATGGACCAGATGGCGGTGTGGTCCTGGATCCCCGTGGCATCCTGGGTGCGACTGAGACTTTCACCGGCATTAGGTGCATGTTCAGTGCGGGATATTTCCTGGATGACAAACTAGTTTTCGCTTATATAAACGCCTTGAATGTAGTGATTGAAAAAGTAGAAACGATCGAGCGTCAAGGTTATGTAATATAATATATTTTCACTGATTGCTGATTGTTAACCCGGTATCAACATCAAGCATTAGTTGAGGTGGACTATATACGGCTTAATTTTGAGATATCTTCGTTGTTACTAACATACACCTTCCAAGCGTCATGTTTAAAATACTACATAATGGGAGCGTATCAAGAGATGCTTAAGTCTATAGCGCCCTTCAGACTGAGATGGTCTTAGCTACATTATTGTTAGTGTGATTCGGTGCACATCTGAAGTGCGCTATGGTAATGAGCACCTTGAATTTGTTCACGACCACAATCGATTCGATTAGAAATTTTACCCTAGCGCTCGCGATTCGCACCACATACAGTATACGCAGAACAAAATCAAACAAAGATGCAGTGTACCAAATCAAACCAAATACAAGACTTGAGGGGCCACCCCGCATAATATTTTATTACATTCTAATTTGCTGAATCCATGGTCACAGAATGACAGGTTGCTATATATATCTATCGTAGCCCATTTAGACGAACATGACGTACGTGGCTATAACAGAGAAGACAATACCAAAGGCAATGAAGAACCAGGCACCGTAGAAGAGAACCTTCTCCCAGGCCGAGTCCTTTGTCTCGCCTTTGTACTGCATCACGTAGAAAACGCCCGGTAGCACGAACGCAATCATACTTGAAGCTGTGGCTCCAATTACACCGAAGACAAATCTGTAGTAGTAGTGGAATGAAGAATGGAGTATTGGGTGATATTGTTTTCACACGAGCAACATTAATCAGAGTCAGAGCAACGCGAGGTACACTCACAATATAACACATTCAGTTACGCCAAATCAAGTATGTATAAAAGTCATCGACACTTACCCAAGATCAGTGACCAACATGGCAATTACGTAGGTAACGGCCAGCACAATCACTGTGCACACCCAGTACGCAATCTTTCCAGCCTTTTCACTCTTCTCCTCGGATCCGAATCTCGAGATGATGATATCATACAGATGCAACATGGCGGAACGAACAGGGTGGGTCATAAGGGGATATGATACCGCCACAACGAAGGAGATGGCGAATCGAGCAATTGAACTCACGGTGTTCAAAGGGAAATTGAGTAGGATGTTAGACTTGGTCTCGGTTCCATAAGTCAGGTAACCTCCTAGTCCGAAAACAATGTACATGCTTCCTACAAAGCACAGAGCGCAGCTGACCACAAAGTCCATCGACCTCACCGTCTGGACTCGCATCTCGTTGTAAATTCCAAAAATGTTGTAGTGGCCTATTTCAGGGCAAGGGGCCGATTCAGAAATGTAGATTTGATTACTGATTAGTTTACGGAAATACAGCGTGCTTGGCTTTGCGAAGTTAGTGCTGAATTCGATTGGTGGTTAAGATCTCACACGCACACAAACACGAATTAAGTGGCCTCTTAGCAGTCGGACTTGGCACGTCTGGGCATATACGTAGAATTTTCTTGAGAAGCGAGGACAGCTTATGTCCTTCCAAAACATCCTGTTAATAATGTTGCATAATACCGGAACCGTGACAGACTATCAAAGCACCCAATTTAGAATTTTGGGGCCATGCACAAAAGCACATTAAACATCCCAAGCGCATATTACACACGGATTTGGAGACAAGGATCACGTCTCGTTCTCTTTTGTGAACATTTCTATATCACGAACGAACACACATATCAGTTACTTACAGCAGAATGCAAAGACGTAGACGGGCAGTGCCTTGAAAATGTCGAGGAAATTTGAGTTGAAGGCTTCGGAGGGTCCTCGGCAGCTACTTTCATCCGTGTAGTCGGCGCATGGGTTCCACTCAGCGCTCGGCTCAGCCCAGAACAAGATTACCAGAATCATACAATAGGTCACACTTACAAGTGCGAGGAAAGATGTGTACTTCAGGAAGTCCAATCTGGGTGCGACAGTGAGGGGGATACCGAATACTACGAAAGCTACGCTTATCCACAAGTGCCTGTTGAGCCAGATGCTGTCGGGGTCATTGATTTTAGCAACGTACTCCATGAAATCAGGCATGTTATCTCCGAAGATTATTAGATACGACACACCCGCCCCAAAGCAGTTAAAGATTACCACCAAGTCGACAAACCACGACAACCATGGAACAGAGGCGTGAGCTACGGAACCGTAACTGTGGTGGCGGCCGCCAATTTTGTGCGAACACTTGGACAGCAAGTGAAGAGTGAAGGCGGACATCAAGCCACAGAGTACTACGAACACGGTACCCATAACGTATCCCAAACCCATGAACGCTGAAGGCAGACCTAAGATTCCTGATCCAATAATAGTGTTACTCAGATTGAGGAAACCGGAGAAGACAGTTCCCTTCCCCTGGGTATCGGAATCGTAGTCGTGCTCATCATCATCGAGGATGAGGTCTTCAGTGGAGACAGTATTGTTTTCTGCCTTCCCTTGGTATTCTGACTTCTGATTAGACATCTTTGTGAATATAATATGGTAATTCTTGCGGCGAAATATCTTGTTTTATACAAGAAGAGAGTGTGGACTGTGGTGTTGCGATGTATCACTTTTGGTCTTCTGTTTTGAATGTTGGAAAGGCCAACTTCCTTATGCTCTTTATGCTTTTATTTCCATACACTGTTCATACATATTTATTTTATTGTAGTGCCTCATTGTATTGGAGAAAAGAACAAAAGCTATATCAAATTGCCGAATTTGGAGGAATACTTTCCCAAATGCGGCCCGCGGGTCCAGGATTTTCAGGGATTGTCTTCACAACAAGTAAATACATCTGTTGTTTTTTTCTTCATAAAAAGGTTGTTACTTTTGATGTTTTTTATTATCATTTGATTAAAAAAAATTGTCATGATGATGCGAGAAGCCCTAATTGCTGAATGAGCCCAAGAGCGACAAGTGGCCCAGCATGTCCAGTTTGCCCACCAGACTCCAGAGTGCCTTTTTATATATTTATATTTATATTTTTCAAAACAAAATACAAAACATGTAATTGAGCCGGGTTTAGGGACTTACATAGCCCCTTTTTATGTCTTAAACAAACAGGGGCTTTAGGCCTTTTATAATAGGGGTTTAGGATCTCTTTAGTCTCTAGTCTATACAAAAATAAATGTACAGAGTACTACTCTAGAGAGTAGCGAAAGAGTAACTACTGCTGAGTGCTGAACTGCTGAGTGCTGAACTGCTGTGAGTGCTGAACTGCTGTGGGTGCTGAGTGCTGCACAGCTGAGTGCTGAATTCTGCTGACTACAGCAGGCCATACAACACATCATTAAGATACGTATTGTACGTTTTCTTCACAGATTTAGAAAGAGTCCTTCATCATATTTTTTAATTATGAATCTATGTCAAAAAATATTTATTCTTCATAATTGATAATTAGCATTAGGATTAAGATATTCCCGATTTTATTTCACATATTACATAATTAAGAATAAGGAATTATTCATTGATCAGCAACTTAACTTATTAATTTTGCTATAGGGATAATATTATTTATTTCAAAAATGGCAAGTATGTATGATACAATGTATGAACATATGTATAATACTATTTATTTCAAAGGAGTTAAGTTACAATGTTTGTACATATGGCACGGCTCTCATAGCCGTTGTAGTGGTTCGGGGAAGATCGATGGGAAGATCGATGGGAAGAAGTGGTCAGTAAATTCCCTGTTGAAGCTTGGACCAAGTGAGTCGACAATGGAGGATTTGCGCTGGATCAATTCAGGCCGGTGCTGACAAACAACTGACACCATCGAGTGTGCTAAGTATTCGCTTTCTGACCTACTAAATAGCGTACCCACCTCTGTGGTTCGGATCGGGTCTTTATCGTGTAGTGCTGTGGAATAAGTTAGCGCAGAGTACGAAATGCCAAGTAGGACCAGGTTATCCGTCATAATTCGGTTGAGGAGCGAGGTTGGGTGAACCGATGCCGCACCAGACCACGGATGCACTTGGTATGTGCTGGTTTGCCTGTATTGGAAGTATCATAGGCGGAACCAACAGACGCGATGAATTGGTTTGGACCGAAATTTGGAAGTAGTACTTCAACAGCGTGATTAGCCGGGGTATAGGAAACATCTGTTGATATGTCAGAGACGGGTGTGGGTACAGGGGTTGTTCTTTGCTATAGTTCTTTAATATTATTTCGTATTAAGAAATATTAAGAAATATATATATATATATTATTAGGATTAAGTTATCATTATATATCCATATTTCATTACAAGTGACACTGTGACAGACTGACTCTTGGTGACTCATTGCAATTAGGCCTGAATCACTTGATACCATTTCACAAGTATTTAGACACAGAACAGAGAGGAGTTGGGAATATAGAGTTACAGACACTGTGACACACGACATTAGCTCATTATGTCCCACTGCCACAATATACACAGTCACGTCAATATGGAATCCACTTCCCGAAGATGGCGATTTTACACGCCAGCGATGCTGGATGCCTTAAATGAACTACCTAAGGAGTTGCAAGCAATCTTACACTTCCCTCCAATTGATAGGCGCTACAATTTTCTACTTATGGACACATTCATGTACAAATGTCTTGGTGTGTTGGGCACGCAGGATCCGAACTTGTATATGGATGTGGAATTCAAGATACATGTTCAAGTTTACAGAGGCCGGCAAAAATGTACAGTGGAAGATACATTCGAGTGGTACGCTAGTACCGGCTGCATAGGGATAATATTATTTATTTCAGGTGCGGTATCAAAAGATACATACACAGACTTCAATGAACACCTCCAAGTCGGCAATTTAGCTGTAGTAAAATTGTAGGGCAGATTATACGGTTAAAAAGATTATCCCATCCGCGTTGCACTACTCGTCATACTGGTAGAGGGCAGTGTTGTTTCGATTGTAATGTACGACCCATTGAATCTAGCTCTGTTCGTAGACTTGACGGTCAAAAACTGTGCCCAATGAGAAACTAATAAAACCTTTGTATGACATCATGAACATAGTTATAGATTATATATATATATAACACATACATACATGACAGGATAATGTATCATTCAACATACAATAGGATCGTTTTGTATTCATGCACCTCTCAAGGCAATAGAGTATGTGTACGCACACACGCACAGAGCAGCAGCAATCATCACGGGCACTAAATACCCTCGGTTTCCTAAACATCAAACAAACTTACTTCACTTTTGCGGCCTGCTCCCCTTGCGACAATTCGCGGACTACCTCGGAGATTGCCTGGGAATAAAACTCGACTCAATGGCCAGCACAAATCCACTTACCCCTCTGACGCAACCCGCCTGGGCCCACGATAAACCATCACTGAGCTTCCCGTACAGAATCTTTGCTCACCTGAAAACTGTACACAAAACCACGGGCGGGCGTACACCCGACCATGTAGCCCTCCGCCAACGCTGTGACGACATCAGGAAGAACTCAACAAAACGTTGGTCCAACAAGGAGATCGCGGCAATGGCCCGGCGCCAATACTACTACCAACTGGTTATGGTAAACCGCCAACCTCAAACCGAGACACAGCCAGACACGACAGCTTCAATTGCTGCTTCGAGTCTACACCAAT